GTATATGACACTAAAAGGGCAGTTACAAGAAAAGTATGAGACTTACGAAAGTAAATCTTTAGTACGTTGCAAGTTGTATATACACAAACTCTGTGTGACAATATCAAGGCTGTATCAATTCAATCTTTTTCAGAATCCCTGCCAACAATTTGCGCAAATTTTGGTCTATCGAACCCTTTGCATCTTAAAAATTCAAAAAATTGACAGTGAAATCATATAGGGATAGTGTGTTTCTGTCTCTTGACCCATACTGGTTATTGGGAATCCCAGTACACTTAATTTAGAGCCCAAACAAAAATTTTCATTTCAGCTGTACCTAGTTCACCTTAACGAAGGGAAATAATCGTGGCTGTAGGATCACGCATGTTTGCTGAGTATTCAACACAGCCAAGGTTACATCCCTGGTTGGTATGTTCAGAGGTTTGTGTGCATAATGTGGGTGAGTTAAATTGTATGAATGGCAAAGAAGTATGTGCACGCGCGCGTGCGTGCTTGCGCACGTATGTGTGCGTGTGTGTGTATGTGTGTGTGTCTGTGTGTGTATGTGTCTGTGTGTGTATATGTGTGTGTGTGTGTGTGTGTGTGTGTGTGTGCTTGTGTGTTTATGAGTATGTGTAAGTGCGTTTACAGTTTACAGGCGTTGCCATAGGAAGGGAAAGAAAACGTGTAGAACAGTAAGTTAAAATCTTTTGTATTTGACTAAAACTATTTTGGGGGAGGGGATTCCTATTTGTGTTTGGTCAGAGAGGTAACTTTTTACTGTATGTGAAGTGAAGTTGAGCATTTCTTTTTATCAGCAAAAATTTCTTTTCTTTCTCGGTAAGCAGGAGATCGGAGAGTGCCGCAGGTAGGTCCAACACGCCCCCAGTCCTCCTAATGTCACTGGTTGTATCTCGCTCTTTTCCGATACCGAAAGCACCAGGAAAGTTGACGAATACACGTTCGGACGTAACCTTTTAATCTAATTATTGACCCAAATTAGGTCATGAGGTGAACTGTTGTGTAAGCAACCAACTTGTGTTTTGTGTGCTCATTTTACCGTATGCAGGTGAGAGCGCCGTAAAACTCTTACTTGACTAAACTAAACTAAACTAAACTAAACTAAACTAAACTAAACTAAACTAAACTAAACTAAACTAAACTAAACTAAACTAAACTAAACAGGCGTGCTCACCTGGAAACCCCTGGGCCTTTCTCATCTCACAGATACGTTCTACAGCAGAGTTTGCAAAGCCGTAGTTGGTTTGTCCTGCATTGCCAATGGTCGCAACATAAGAGGAAAAGGCAACGAACCATTCCAGCGAGTCTTTGCACAGATCCCTTGAGGCTTTGTCGAAATTGATAGTTCCTTGAACTTTGGGCTCGCAGGTTGCTCTGAATGTTTCTGAGCTCTGGTTGTCAAGCAAACCATCATGGAGCACCTTGGGAAAACAG